GGGTCCTGGGGAGCCAGAGGGGACCAGGTTGTGATGGAAGGAAGGTGGAGAAAGCAGTGGAGCCGTTGGAGAACCGGGGGTCAAATGGGGGTGGGAGCTCTGTGTGAAGCTGATTTGGGGTCCCTCAAGCCTGGCAGGGCCGGGGTGACTGATGGGGTTGGGGGGCATGGTCTGATGGATGTGGGAGTCGCCTGCTGATGACCCATTATATCGGTGTGTAAGTTTGGGGTGATGGTGAGCAGGACTGGGGGGATATTATTCAAGCTTCAGAGAATATTTCCTCTAGAGTGGAGGGTAGGATTGGCGTGGGAAAGCGGTTCAGGCCAAGACTAGAGGCAGGTCCTGGCGGGTAGCTCAGTGGGATAAAGTGTCGTCCCCATATGCCCCCGCCAGGGCACATACAGGAATCAACAATGCATGCCAATGCGTAAGTAAGTGGAACAACAACTCACTCACTCTCCCTCCCTCTCTCCCTCCCTTTCTTTCTAAAGTCAATACATTTTTAAAAACACTGGATAAGGAGGAATGAGATCTGTATAACAAGCTTAGCAATATTAATAATAATAGCTAGCATTTATTGAGTGCTTATTACTGGCCTGGCACTATTCTAAGACCATGTTCTGGGAGCTTGGTGACTCTATGAGCTGGGTGCTGTTATCTTCCCCATTTTGCAGAAGAGTCGTGGAGAGAAAATAAGTGAATAACCTGTCCAGTTAGGGAGACTCTAAGTGACTATGTGTCGATTTGGACGCAGGCCGTCTGTCTTCAGAGTCTTTGCTCTTAAACCATATTGTGAGGAAGAGGAGAGGTTGCGAGAGGCAGTACTGTCCAAAACAAGACTTGGGTTTAATTGGCCAGTTGGCAGAGTATTCTGAACAGAGAACAGCAAGTGTGAAAGCCTGAAGGAAGAGAAATGAGTTGTTTGGTGGAAGTGTAGCACTGGAGGTAGGGAGTGAAGAATAGCAGTTGACACTTAAACGTATGCTTATTGTGAGCTGGGACTGTTCTAAGACCCTGACATCTAGCAAGTTAATTTTTACAGCAACCTTAAGAGGTAGGTGCTATTATCCTTATTTTCCTGAAGAGAAAATGGAGGTATCAAAGAGGTGAAGGGACGTGTTCAAGGTCATCAACTAGTGAGGGCACAACTCAGAATGTGATCCCAAGAAGCCTGGGTACAAAAAATACTCTGTCCTTATTAACCAAGTTGGACTGGAGAAGTAATCAAAGGTCTTTTCATCCATTTAAAGAGTTGATCCTTTACCAAAGGACAGTTGGAAGCCCCTGAAGGGAGGGTTGGATTAAGGGCAACGAGGGAAGTTGAGAGGTTTTTAGTAATCCAATCGTGAACAACCAGTTATGGTTTAGTTTACCATAGTGCGGTTGAGAATGAAGAGATGAGGCAGAAGAATCAAGAGCATTTAATGGCTGATTGGATGTGGGGTACAAGGAAAAGTGGGAATCAAGGATGAGGAACCTCCTGTTCCTGGTGTGTGAGCACCTGGGTGAATACTGATGCCCCCCTCACTGTGGTAGGGAACTCAGAAGAGCAGCATAGTGGTTGAGTTTGGGGAGAGGTGGGAAAGGGGCTGAATGTACTCTGAGACACATTGTGGTTGAGATTCCTTTGGGTTATGCAAGTGGAGATTCTGTTTAATCAACACCTGGCTTCAAGAGGAGTGAAAGCAGGTCAGAGGGGGAGGGACTAAGCTAGACATATGGAGTCATCCCATATGGCTGGTAATTAAAGCTGTTGGCTAGGATCATCCATAAGAGAGCGTAGTGGGATTAGAAGCCTTAAAACATGGCCCTCGGGCACACCTACATTTAATTAATTAATTAATTTATTTATTTATTTATTTTTCTGGCATACAGGGTAATAAAACCATAACTTTTGATGTTATCTTGTCTACGAGAGAGAAATCTGTAAGTTAATGTATAACTTTATGGTGTCTGGGATCTAATCAAGTAGTAAATAGCAAGTTTATTATTTTTTAAATCTTTATTGTTGAAAGTATTACATATGTCCCCCTTTTTCCCCCCACTGCCCCCCTCCCGCCCACCCTCACTCCCCACCCCAGGCCCTCACTGCCCCATTGTCTGTGTCCATGGGCCATGCATATATGCATGCAAGGTCTTTGGTTGATTACCTCCCAACCACCCACCAGCCCCGCTTCCCTCTGAGATTCCACACTCTGTTCCATGCTTCCATGTCTCTCCATCCACTCCGTTCATCTGTTTATTTTGTTACTTAGATTCCACATATGAGTGAGATCATGTGATCCTTGTCTTTCTCTGACTGACTTATCTCACTTAGCATGATACTTTTCAGGTTTCTCCATACTGTCTCAAAGGGTAAGAGATCCTTTTTTACTGCTGCATAGTATTCCATTGTGCAAATGTACCACAGCTTTTTTATACACTCATCTACTGATGGGCACTTGAGCTGTTTCCAGATCTTAGCTATTGTAAATTGTGTTACTGTGAATATAGGGGTGTATACATTCTTTCTGATTGGTATTTTGTGTTTCTTAGGATAGATTCCTAGAAGTGGGATTATTGGGTCAAATGACAGTTTCATATTTAATTTTTTGAGGAAACTCCATACTGTTTTCCATAATGGCTACACCAGTCTGCATTCCCACCAGCAGTATCCTAGGGTTCCCTTTTCTCCGTATCCTCACCAGCACTTGTCATTTTTTGATTTGTTGATGGTAGCCATTCTGACATGTGTGAGGTGACACCTCATTGGCATTTTAATTTGCATCTCTCTGATGATCCATGACTTTGAGCATTTTTTCATATGTCTTTTGGCCATCTCTATGTCCTCTTTGGAGAAGTGTCTATTTAGGTCCTTTGCCCATTTTTTAATTGGATTGTTTGTCTTCCTTCTGTTAAGTTGTATGAGTTCCTTATATATTTTGGATATTA